GTTGCTGCAGCTGATAAAAACAGAAAAAGCCTAAATATTGAGTTCCGTAGATTTTTATTGCTTTTACCAACTTTCTGAAACATTACAAAAGATAATTTTATTCTAGCGGTAATTAAAACAACAAAGGCTGGGTCTTTCACGTTAAAGACAAGTTGGAGAGCTGTGTTTTCTGTATAAACTGAACATTGATTCTACATCTGCAGTAATGTTTTCATTCGCTTTGGATTCTGTTATAAAGTAAGAAAACATCATTGTAATTAGAAAAGCAGTCATAAAAAATTCGAACCATACAGTATGCAATCGCATTTCAAAGAGTCAGTATTAAAATCCAAATCGTAGTTCAGCTACAGATGCCGAACCCTGGAAGACACCTTTGCGCAGGGGTATCAGCAACAATAGAAAGAAAAATATTGTAAATTATGTCTTGCCAATAAAATAATTTAGAAAAGTACTGATTTTCAAACTCATTATTCCAAACAAATGTCAACAGATAAGAAATTCAGTATGAAAGTGTCTCTAGATTAACTTCCAATGCCAACTATGAAGTCCTGTAAGTTTTCATTAAAAATGTTACAAAATAAAATCAACTTCAAATTACTAAGCAAATTGATTTATAGCACTACTTTTACACTGACTCAAAGCTGTGTGTGCCTCTAGTCTTGAAATCTGCCATAAAATAAATTACTGTTGGTATAAACAATGTATTTCACACGTTTGTACTGTACTTGGTAATTACTTTGAGACCTAGATGAGTAATTAAAACATTACTAATCATATAAAGCAAAAAGGAAAACTAAAAACATTGTGGTGCTCATCTAACAGACTACATTTGTGAACTGAAAATCATGAACCGTTTCTCTTATGATTTACAGAACGTATGTACAAGACAGACAACCCTTTAAAACGGTGCAGGCTCTGCGACGTGACACCTAATTGTTACAGACAACGTTTTACAGCCTGTCAAACCTGCCTTTGCAAAGGGCACAAATTAGGAAGCTACCATATAAAGACAGAGATGCAGGTGAAGCAAATGATAACTTATGGGAGAACTTTCATTAAACACACAAAAAATGGCCAAGACATTTGGTTAAAAAAACCCCACTAGGGCACCAAATTGTACCCTAACAGGCTTTATGATGACAAACTTGGCAATTTGGAACATTTCACTGATTAATAAGATATTACCTTATAGCTGCAAAACTGATCTAGGAAGAAAGTAGAATTAACTTGGGCATATGTAAACAGAATGAAAAGCATGTCATTGTAATACATACGAAAATACAAATAATGTGTTTTGTAGAACATAATTTAAACACAAGACTGTATTTTAAGTGAAATATTTTAGATGATAATTTAAATGGAGTGGTCCAAATTAAGACCTACACTTTATGTAAACATTCATATTTATAAATAAATTAGAAAAAGGAAAAAAAGTAAAAAGAAAAGGAGAAAAAAAAGAGAGAGGGGGACTTCCTGAGGTGGCTCTGCAGCCAGATACACAGTAGCACTAAGCTCCATTCCGGGAAACCAAGTCATCTAAAAAAAAGTGCAGGGCTGCTTATTTTCCTCTAACTGTTGGAATGGAAATACATTGCTGTAGTTTCTACAGGGCTTAAGCCCTACGAAAAAGAAAAAAAAAAAAAAAATCAGTGCACAGCAATTATCACTGCTCTTCTGCATCTGTTATGGCAAAACGTGTATCTACATACAGTAAACTACATCCTTAGCTGTTTAATACTGTGGGTGATTTTGAAGCAGAGAAGGTATAAAATGAGTAGTGAATCACTTAATCGGAGATTATCAGTGGGGTTTTATGCACTTAATACCAGACCTTCTCCTGTTCATATGGGAAAAAAAGTGCAAGCATTACATGCTACTGACCAAGAACGCTGGAACTGAAGGTCACTGTAAACCGCTTTATAAGTCATGGTATTTCTGGCACTGATTAAAATATCTACACAATTAAAATTAAATAAATACTGTAATTAGACTTGTGGGGCTTTGGTTTTGTTTCATTTCAACTTCAGTAGAAAAATATCCACTTCCTGTAATATTGACCAAAACTTAACCCTTCTGAAATAAAAGCCAGATACAAGGTGTGCAGCATCACGGCACCCTGATTTCTGGCATTAAAGAATTTTTAAAAAAAAAAAAAATCTGAGAGGCTTATAGTAATTTTTTGGGTCTTTGGAAATTGTTGCAGGACTGTGAACATGAACTGTAAAATGCTACTGGGAGGACTCGTACAGAAGTAATGTCTTATGGACAACAGCTACGTAAACTGCCTAAAGTATCTTCCCTCTGATTCAGCAAGAGCTACGTAGTAGTCAACAACTGACAGGAAGATGTGTACTTTTTTTTTTTCTCTTTTTTAAAATAATGCAGGAAGTTTTGGGAAACTATCTGCTATAGTTTCACTGTGTCCCAGTTTGACTAGAGGGAAAACATGGCTATTTTCTGAAAGAGCACGTACTCAAGCTAAGGCACAAGCTACACTATTAGCTAAGAACAAGGGAACATCTACACAGGTCATTCACTACACAGTATTGGTCAAATTGTAATGCAGATCTGACTTGCTTTGTCACTCACCTGAGCCTTTGTTATTATAGTTTAGATACCATTATTTGTACTGCTGTACACTGTGATTTACTTTCTTTAAACTGTCTTCTTGGAATTCACCCAAATAAAAATAAAATTAAAAAAAACACCAAACCATTCTTTAATTACATTACATTTAAAGGGAATGGTTAACAGCCCATGTAACTTTAAATGCTGTGTTTATTCCCACTGATTGCTTTATTTTTGTAATATACAATTCTCTTCTCTCCAAGTGACACTTGGCTGAAGAACTCCAAAATTCTACCTCAAGTGGTATTTTCAGATAAACCTTCCTCGAGAATCAGCTCCTTTTGGAGTTGTTGAGAATTTTATCATGTGGTCCATGGTAAAACTCCCAACTTTGCCAAAAGCAGGATTAAGCAAAGAGCATCTTTGCATTTTAAATGAGCACAGGTTCTAATTAAAGCCACTGTAATACATCCAGAAGGGGCTAGTGGCAATTCAGACTGTAAAGAGATCATTTCAGAAATTAAAGCCAAAAAAACTAAGGTGTAAGGCAAAAAAAAAAATTAATAATGGAAACCGCGCAGGTAAGTGATCAAGATTTTAATCTATACATAAAATTCTCATTATTTCAAATATTATAATGCTAAACATTAGAACTTGAAAAATGTAAGTACAATAAATGCACAGACTGCATCTTTATCAGATAGTAAGCCCAAAAAAATCCCATTTA